GCACCACCAGATCGGTGGTACAAGCACGGATGTCGATCGTTGTTCGGGACATGGTGCATGTCGAGCCTGAGAGTAAACTGGCGCCACCACGGGATCGGTTCCGTCTTGGACTGATCGCAGAAAACTGGAATGTCATCCAGTTTGGGTGGGCGCCGGGAGGATGTGGCGGCAGGCGTCACGGTGGCAGCAGCCTGTACCTGCGTCTCCAACTGCAAGTTCGTTGCTTGCTGCGACGTCCGGAAGTCCTGTTGCACACGCTTGATGTTGCTGACGTCATCCTCCAAAACTTGCACACGGGTGGTAAGGGTGGAAGGCCCTGCGGCTGCTACAGCAGCTGGCTGTTTCTCCAACGCCTGCAGCCGTGCGAGCATTTGGTCCACTGTCTGCTGCAGGTGAAGGATTTCCTCCTGCTGCAGAGCGCAGGTGGCCACGAGGTCATGGGAGACCTGCGCAAGGGCTGACAGCCCTTTCTCAGTCTCCGGGGCCCCGTCTGCAGATGTCACTTCCACCCAATGTGCGGCCTCATCGCCGATCACGGTCTCCCGCGTGAACAGTCGTTCCCGCTGGCGTGATCGGTGTTCGGCTGGCGCCTGCAGGTCTGCCTCTTCTTGACGAAGTCGGTCCTGTTCCTCCTTCTGTCGCTTGGCCTCCTCCTCTTGTTCGAGCCGATTACGTTCCTTGGCCGCGGCGGCAGCCCTATCGTTGGCCTCCTGAATGAATGCCGCCAGGCGTTCCTCATAGGCCAAGAGGGATTCTCCCGCCTTCCGGTCCATGGCCTTGGTCTGTGATCGAGTGAGCAGTGTCATGCACTTCTGTGTCCGAAGTCTGAAGAGTCACCCGAGGGCCAATCTGATGGACTGGCCCAGTACCCGGACTGGAGGGGGAGGAACAGGTAGGAAGCAGACAAGTGGGAAGGATTGGACAGATCCCAATTTGAACAGTTTCCTAATCAAAAAGAAGAAAAAACAAAACTTTAAAATTCGAAAAAAGTCTGTCCAATCCCACTTAGTACCGAAGGTGATGCAGAAAGCAAATGTGAACCTTCGATGCTCGGACTGCAGAGAATCAGAAAAGAAGGGTCTTTATAACTCAGAGTAGGAGCAGGTTGCAAAAGAAAAAAAATGTCGTGTTTTTTTTTTTTTTTTTTGAAAAAAAAAAGGACGGAATTTGCAGACCTACGCAGTGAAAGTGTAGAGGGACAGTTTCGGAAAAGGAATCGCGAAATTATCAAAATGCAGACATTTAACAATTAAACAAGGTAAAAAAAATTCTCGGAAAAAGAATTCTCAGAACGAAAAAAAAAAAAAAATTCTCGGAAACCAAATTCTTCGGAAAAATAAATTTTCGGAAAAGAATAAGAATTTCTCGAAAAAAAATTTATCAGAAAAAGAAATAATTTCTTGGAAAAAAAAACTCTCGGAAAAAAATAATTTCTCAAAAAAAAAAAATTCTCGGAAAAAAAATAATAAATAATTCATTCCGGGAAATTTCCAAGATTAAATAAACAATTGCCAAATAATCAATCAACTTAATTAATCAATCAATCAATCAATCAGTCAATCTCAGATGATTGTTGGTTGATTGATCGATTGTTCGATCAATCTCCTGCTTGACTGATCAATCAATCGAAGATTGATTGGTGGCAAACCACCAATCCAATCAATCAATCGATTGATTATCGATTGATTGGTTGTTGCCAAGATTCATCGCACTAGCTCCGATACCACTTGTAGCATATCAGAAAGTGAAATGCACTGACAGCCTAGGATCTAGCAATGACGAAAGTGGCAACAACCAGCAGCATAGGTGCAGCATTCACAAGATGTCAATGTGCATGATGCAAAGAGCAACCCAACGAGAAGTCAACAACAACACATTCGTATCGTTATCATCATCATGGGCTGTGAAGCAGCGCAGCTGCAGTCTCGAAATAGCGCAGCAGGGAGTCTCCAAAATAGCGCAGCAGCCAAGTTCCTGAACCAGCATAACGCTGGATTTCTCCTGGTACCTTCTGTGCCCGAACTGGGCAATGGCCCAGCTTAAGTAGTGCTGGGCCAGGACTGAAAACCCACGGCCTGCGTTCTGGACCGTGCAGATCGAAACTCCGATCCATGGTCCAGATCGCAGGCTTCGAAAACTGGTTCAATCCTTGGCCTAAAACGGCCTGCCTGGGTCCCTACCGGACGTCCAGGCCCTGTCCAGGATCTGTCTCTTATACACATCTAGATGTGTATAAGAGACAGTCCAGGCCCTGTCCAGGATTAATCTTCCTGGTACCTGGCTTCAAACCGGTCCTGTGCGGACGTACCCGGCCTCAACGTCGGCCTGGGTTCGAACAGGTCAGAATCTGTTCGAAAACAAAAGAAAAGGTCCAAACTTTTTTAGGAGCTCAGCCTCTTGGCCTGAATCTGGCCCTGGCCCTAGAAGCGTGTACCTGGCCACAAAACGGACAACAGTACACCCGTTAGAAAAACAGCAGCAAATAAATAAAATAAAGACTATAAAAATAATCTAAAGCTGGCGTTTTTCTGATGCAGGCCCAAGTAAAAATGCCATAGGGCCTTCAGGTTGCGGTGACGCGACCTGGGGGCCCTATTCCAACCTCGGGTCCCGTGAGGGGCCCGTGTGTAGGCTTTCAGCATGTAACAGTTGGTGAAAATCGCCCGACAACCAAGTTCATAACAGTTGGTATCGGAGCTGGATAGGAATTGACGTTCTGAGGGTTGAGTGCGATTGGGGCACCTTCTTCTTCTGGTGATCTTCAGGAGAAGGTTCCATGGCAGATCTTCTTCTTCGGTACTGAAGCAGGCGAGAAGAAGAGATACAGGCAGTGAATTCAAGAGATCGGTGATTGGATTGATCAGGCGCAGTATCCTGCCTGACCGCCTAACTTCGTATGGCGAGTACAGGGCTATCTCGCCAGTGTTGGTTCTAGAGCCAGAATCGCGATTTGGCTCTGAGTGGCGAAATACCCCTGAGGACCTGAGGAACAGAGTGGCGACTTCAACACAAGGTAGCGCTGACTAGGATTGACTGACAGAGTCAACCCTACACTGTGTTGACCCCATCTGGGGCCATTTCCAATGTCAACGGATCGGGGAGAAAGTGGCGAATTATCTCCTCTTGACTGTAAGAGTGTCACCGGACTAGATTCAGTGAATCTAGTACAAATGATTGAATCGCCTCAGTGTCTTCTGCAAGTTCAACAAGTTTGGTGAGTTTCTGTGTGTGGAGATTGGAGGAGCAGTCTCTAGAAGGAAGTGGCGAGAAGGGAGTATACTGTCTGCCATAGCCAGAGCTTCTTCCTCATCTGCAAGAACTCTCTTAAGTGAGTATGTTCCACGCAGTACTCAGTGTAGCGAATTATTTAGTGTAAGTATAGTCTGAATTGATGGTCTATCTGTCAGTCTAGGTCTAAAAATAGGTTTGCCTGACAGCGTGACAGCGATAGCCATCTTCTTCCCCATCTCCTATTTCTCATATCTCTCCATCTGCTGACTCTTTCTGACTCGAAATTGTTATGTGACTGTCTGACAGTATTGCGCTAAATACAGTATGCTTAGATTGTGAATTCTGTACTGGAAAAGTAGTGATACTGTGAATTGTAATTCTGAGCTGAGTCTATATTATAGCCTGTGCTACCTAGGGTCAGTGATAGTTACAATTTTGTCCGTCGGAATTCGATTCTGACTGTTTCTAGTGAAGCACAATTCTGTTGTTGTCATCTGGGCAAGAACACTTGTCCAGATATGCAGTAATCGAGTAGATACAATGAAAATTGTAATCCGCCATACCCCTAGGTATGGCCACCAGAGTCATCAATGGCGAAATTTGAGTCTGAGTTTGGGTAGAGGTCTACTGACTAAATCACTGAGTCTTGTTGATTTGTGCTTGTCTGTACTTACCTTTTCCATCTCTCCTATTGATTGCTCTTGTTTTCTAGTGGGCACTGGAACATTAGTGACCTCACTGGAAAGTCTGCATGTGAGTGTACCAATTCCAGAGTGGTCCAGGGTCGGTCAAAAGGAAATCGTGGGTTTGATTTTGCTGGACTGTGTGTCTGTCTGACTCCTGGCCTCCAGAGAAGGCTTCTAACCCAAATCTCATGTTGCCTATTCACCCACCTACTACTTCGTTAGTCTCTGTGTGTCTGAAAGAAGTATGAGAATCGCTGCATACTCTGTGACTGTCAGTCTACTAACTCATTGTTTGAAGGGAGAAAAATGTCTGAGCAAGGTGCAGAGTCGCACTCATAGGAACAGGTGGTGAAAGAGGAACCACAATCCTCTAGTCGCCCTCCTCCTCTGACTGCGACCCAACAGCGTGTTCAAGAGATGAAGGAGAAGCTGCAGCAACAACAAGACCTGCTAGCGGAGTTGGAGAGGTAGGAGGCAGACGAGATGGAAATTGCAACAGATGCGTCCCGCAGGACATATTTGTTGGAGCAGCTGGCCAAGATAGAGGCAGATGGTCGGTCCTCAGAAGCGGCAATCTCTGAATAGAGGGGTCCTTCCTTAGAAATGATGCGATGGCTTCCATCACAAATAGGAAGATTGATGGTGCCAGAGTGTCCCCTTGTCTAACTGATCTGGATATTGGGTAGCTTTCTGACAGGAACCCATTAACCTGCACACATCCCATTGCATCGTTGTATAAAATTCGGACCCACTTTCTGAAATTCGGTCCCACTCCCATTCGTTCCATGTTGGCATCCATGAAGGACCAATTGACTTGGTCGTATGCTTTTTCAAAGTCAAAAAAAAGTATTGCCGTGTTTATTCTTTTTTCTCTGACTTTGCAGACTGCCTCATTTAAGGTTAGCACGTTGTCCAATATATATCAACCGGGAATGAAGCCCGTTTGATCAATATGAAAGCATTTGTCCGTTATGCTTCTGATTCTCGCTGCCAGTGTTTTGGTCAGAATCTTATATGGGAGCGTTAGCAAGGAGATCGGTCTATAGTTTCTAATGTCTTTTTTGTCTCACTTTTTGTATAACAATGTGACCACACTACTGCTGATGAGATTACCTAGCCCCCCTTTAACCTAGTTGTCTTCGTAGAAGTTCACTAAATAACCCCCCAAGAGAGGCCAAAATTTTGTCCAAAACTCCTTGGTCAGGCCATCAATGCCTGGTGATTTGTCATTATTTATACTTTGGAGCGCTTGGTGCAGCTCTTCTATCGTGATTGGTTTGTCCAGGGTTTCCGCTTGTTCGGCTGTAATCGTCTGTTCCAAGTATTGTAGCATTCTTTATCTCGCTTCTCTTGTAGTCACCGAGATAGGAGATTGTGTTTTAGTTTGGTATAGTTCTTGGTAGAAACGTTTTGCTATTCCTAACAAATCTTCACTGGTGGACATTGTCTCCTCCAGGAGCGAGAGTCTTTAATCTCTCTACTAGCTAAGCGCACGTTGTG